TATATATATATATTTCTTTTCCTGCTTGGTGGAGAAATTGACCTATTGGCTTATTAAGAGTGCCTGTGTTGTATGTTTGTTTCTTTGTTTGCTTAAGTAAGTACGTTTGTTTTTGAAGGGAAGTTCCTTGGAGGAAACAAAGCATTTAATTTCCTGACTTTTCATTTGTTCTCAAGTTGGTCTGAAAGCAAGTCTTTCTCATCTCTCATGGGGAAAGAACAGTTTCACATTGCTGTCCTTAGTTACGCATTTCTCCTGATGGGTAACAATTTCAGTGGATATATAGACAGCAAAGCCAAGGCCACATGGAAAATAGGGATTGCACAGGTTCCTAGGTCTTCTTACCAACCCCAGTTACCTTCTTTAATTTTGAAGAAATCACATAATCTTGTAAATATATTGAGGAAATTGTTGAGTTCAAAATTACATAGGCTTTGTATTCCCAAATAGGAACTATAGTTCTGGAAAGAGACTTGTCCTTATGCCTTGTCCTAATGCAGTCGTACAAGTCTCAACAGACCAAAAGCTGGTAAACTAAGAATATGACCACCATGCAAAAAACATGCTTTACAGCAATTTCACTTGCATTTAATAAGTGTGTTCTGTATCAATATCAACTGCACTAGCCAAAGAGCAGCTTTTAAGATAGTCTGCACAGCTGTGTACTCACTCTTTGGCACTTCTTGTAAGCAGATGGGTATGGAAACTTCTACGGTCTTCAGAGAACAGAAGCCTTTAAGATTTCCTGATACTGTGTTGTCACTAGAGGAGGTCACGCAGTGAAGTAATAGTGATTAGCAAATTTTATGTAATGCATTACTCTGTAACTGGAATTAAATTTAATTTTTTTTAAAGATAGACAGAAGTCACTGTAAGTACTTTTCATTCATTTCCCAGACTGTGATTTTTAGCCATAGTAAGCATAAAGTTTGTTTAAAATGAAGTGATCAGGGACATACAAAATCAAAACACAAAGTATGTTACTCTGCTGTCCATAGTGCATGTACATTTTAGACACCCTATTAGTGATTATCCTATAAATTTCATACATGTATGACAGTCATTTCATTTCAGTTAAATATGCTTTTCAAGGACTCTACATGCAGAAAATATGTGTTTCCATTGTACCGTTGCATATTTTGAGAGGAATTTGTCCCTTCATGTATATGAACAGTTCTTTCAGCTATAAGGCCAAATGCCAGAAGAGCCAGACAGGACGCAGCTGCACTCTGCCTCCTGTCAAGTGTCAAGTCACTTGCCGTCAGAGAAGCTGCATACACATGACTCAGGTTTCTTTTCTTTAGTTGTTACATTTCTTTTGTAATTAAAAACAGTAAATTCGCCCATTAGTTTTTCTGAATTACAGCTTCTGCTTTTGCCATTCTTTATATGTTTCCTGGTCTCTTGGAATTTTCAATGCATAGTAGAATGTTTTCTCCTCCCAGCAGGAAAGAAGAAAGAGATGCTGCTGTAATCATTTACCAAAGACATCTCTGAGAATGTTGGGTTTTTTTTAATCCCTCCTCTTTCTCTCTGTCGAAGAAAGTGCAGTGCGTTGATTTGGCATTACCTAAGCATTGGTGATTTGTTCTGGAAAATACTTCATGTAGTTTTTTCTTACATAATTGAGAGATACTTAGGGTAAACGTTATTGGTGGTAGCATCATATACTTTTTTATATATTTATTTGTATTTACATATATACTTTACTTAACAGAATTGAATATTAAATTATTACAGATGTTCCACCAACAAGTCAAGGTGTGGATCACAAGCAGGTCCAGAGAGAGCTAGGTGATGTGGTACTACATCTGCACAATCCTACTATCCTGTCTTCCTCCTCAATTGAAGTTCATTGGACTGTAAGTATAGATCAGTATTGTGGAGGTGGTTACATATGCTGCTGAATTGCACTGTTTGACTGCAGTGGAGTCACGCTTTAAGAAGCTGTGTAGTATGCATGCTTACAAATGTTTTCCTCTGGAATAAGTGCTTCTTGGGCTTTGCTTTCCTACTTCATTAAATTTTGTCCCGTTGTCACTATTTTAAATCTCGACAGAGAACGCTGCTTACAATATGGTATTTCAGAGTCTTTCTCTGGAAGCTAAAGGACTGATCAAAGCATTCTTAAGTCATATAATTTGAAGCTTTTGCACTGCTTTCAGTAGGAAATGTACCAGTTCCCTAGAGATCACATGGGCACTTTCCTGTCTGTCAGTCACCAGTGGAGAGATTCTGTTTGAAAGTATTACCTCCATCCTACATACATACAGAGAAACAAACCCAAACCTCGTCTGAACCTGTCCTTTCCCCTGGTACTATGAATGCACACTGTACAAGGAGAAGAGACAAAACTGGCCAACAGTTTTGAGACATTGTGTTGGTGTTGCTCTGGTGGGAAGAAGCAGGAAGTTGGCCATGTGGCGGATATAGCAGAGGAAATGAGAGAGTGAACAAACAATATTTTCGGAGTCGTGAAGCAAAGGGAATGGAAACATATGTGAAAAAGATTCAAGTAGGCTTACAAGGTTGAAGCCTCAGTGAGAGAAAGGATTAGAAATGGCTGACTGTGGGAGATGTTTGGCAGTCAAGAGGTAGAAGTGAAGAGAAAGAACAACATGGGAAACTAAATGTAACAAGCAATGAGATAAGAAAATGTAATTCAAAGAAGAGCAGTTTTAAAACAGAGTGAAGAATGAAGAAATAGTGAAGGATTATTATACTAGTGCAGGAATAAATCCAAATCTTTGAGGTCTTTTCAGGACTTCCATCTGAACATGTCAATATATTGGCAAGGACAGTGTAGAAGAGCACAGGGTGTAGCCCCTGTTATGCCATGGCAAAACAGTTTGAACAAGAACAAAAAGTATTTTGGCTTTGTTGAAGAGCCTTAGCCCAGTGGAGACCTGGTCCATGACCAGAGCTCCTGGGTGCTGCAAGAGAACAAATAATATCTGCTGTGTTGCACAGTAATTACACCATCACCTGCAGTATGACCACCTGCAGCAGGCAATCTCCTGTTTTAACTAATAATGTTAAAACATCTTTTGAGGTTCCTAGCATGATTTTGTTTGACGTTTACTTGCAGAACAACCTTTCCAGACAGGCAGTTTTTGTCAGTCTCTTGGGTGGCCTGTGGCTTCTCTGTAGTTTCAAAAATAAGCATTACCTCAGTTTCAGCTAACACATGCATTCTTTATGTGATTATAAAAATGAAGTGTGTTTCTTTTTGGAGTAAAATTGCAAGCAAACAGTTTTATTATATCACTGTATGAGATTTTTGAAAACAGGCAAAATCTGATGCACTTTTAAAATTTTTGTTATTACTGAACTTTCTTACTCATCAGAAATTGAAACTGGTAGTTGAAAGACAGTGGGTGCTCCGTGGGAGATCACTTCTGCAAGATAGCTTTCTGTTTCAGCTATAGCCAAACAAATTGAATCCCACCGTCGTTTACATTAGCTCTCTTTCTCCATACATGTAATATAAAATTACCTCAGTCTAAAAAGGACTCAGGACCACTGATTGTAATTTTGATCTGCTTTTCCAAGTCTCATCTGTGTTACCATATTGGGTTTTATGAGTCTCTTCTGAGCATTCTCAAAGCAGCCCTTTCCCACCCACTGAGTGGGTGGACACAGATTAAGTGCTTGGACAAACCTGCCCTCTGTCAGTTCCCTGCCTAATCACAGCGATGGAGATAGTGCCAGCTGGCTGCCCTTTCAATTGGCTTTCTCCAGAAGGAAGCAGGCAGGAAGCGGTGCTCATTTCATATATTTTTGGGAGGCTTCCACACCTTGGGAGAGTTGGTAGGCTCGCTCTTTGATCTCTGTATTCATCACCCTGAATTGTGGAGCAGCAGATCCTCTGTCCTTGCCCTCGCCTGTTTTCCTGTGTGCCCTCTGCCCTGCCTGGCAGATTCGGGTGGGCAAAAGTCTGGCCTGTGCCGAGCTCCACAGATGCAAAGGCTGTTCATTTCACGGAGCTGGGGCATATTATACAACTCTGTTATCCCCTTTTAATGCTTTCATAAATCCACAGAAATCAGCACAGTTCTACTAGCATCTAACAGGTTAATGCAGTTGTGAATCAGGCCTGTAATTTGCTGTAATGCAAGGAGCCTTTACCTGCTTTGACAGTGTTGTTTACTTTGAATAAAATGAACGGATAGTCTAAGGACCATGCATAGTGTCACAGACATCATTTCTGGTTCGTATTTGTTAAAGGGTGTGTTATGTGTTCTGCTGTCTTGCCAGGTGGACCAGCAATCCCAATATATTCAAGGATATAAAATTCTGTACCGGCCTACACCAGCATCTTATGGAGAGTCAGAGTGGTTAATCTTTGAAGTGAGGACTCCAACCAAAAACAGCGTTATCATTCCTGAGCTGAAGAAAGGTGTAAATTATGAAATCAAGGCCCGCCCTTTTTTTAATGAATTTCAGGGAGCAGATAGCGAAGTGAAATTTGCAAAGACCCTGGAAGAAGGCAAGTAGGAGCCAAACTGTCTTCATCTTTCCTTTTTGAAGTAGTAGTCTGGCCTGCATTCCTCTGATACGTTCATTATTTGATTTTATTTGAAGTGCATGCTGTTTGAGAGCAGCAGTCTGCGGCAGAGGAGGCTGTGTTGGCCTGATCATTATGTGAATTGTTTGGTGACACAAAAGTAAATATTCAGAATGACAAGGAGCGAGAGACAGAGAGAGAGGGATGTGCAAAAATCCCCTCCAACACACAATGGGAAATGCGCTTTTTATCTTCACTGCAGTGTGCACTCCTCCCCGCTGAGTTCATGGTCTGGTCACAAGTGACTTCTGTCAGATTCAAGCACTTGCTAATCACTATCTTGAGTAGATAGCAGACACCACAGAAATCATCAAAGCTCTATTGCTGAGGGAATGGAATCCACATTTTTGGAAGGCTTTTATATCTGGATCAATCAGTAAGATAAAATGAAAAGATGAATGAGGGTAACAGATATAGCGAACTAAATGATATATTTCCATCTCATACATGTACTAAAAAGAAAAGGTTCTGAAGCTCTTCCTTTTGTTGCTGCTCAGGCATAATGAGTATGCAAGATGGCCAGTGCCTCTGAGTAGGGATTTCAGTGCCTCTGCTGGGATATGCAACCTTTCCCTTTCTTTCTTTCCTCCCCAATATAAATGCTGTGTAACTCAGATTTATTGCTGTAGGTGGCTCAAGAGGTGTGCCTAACTGCATTCACCCTGAGCATCAGCTAAGCATCCAGTTTTTAGAAAGACTATTTAAAATGCAGAACATGAATTAGTATTATAAATGTGTTAATATTAACATATTCTGTCCTGATTTTAATGTCTTGTATTACTTATTATTATTATTTACACACTAGAGGAACTGAGATTTAGCATTCTATTGGGGTCAATTTATAGAGTTTATTTTTCAAAACTGTTGATCCTGGGTGAGATTATTTGAGGCCATTGAGAAATTCAGTGCTCAGAACTGTGAATTCAGGTAATGCATATTGAGTTTGGAGAGTTTGATGATGAGTGTGACTTTTCCTGTAGTACACAGTGAGACTGCAGCAGAACTTGGGAGCCTGATTGGAGGTTCACATCACTTTCCTTCTATATCATTTTGTCTTATGGGCAAGAACTGCCCTCAATGAAGGGTGGGGCCTAAAAGAATGCATTTCTGTAGCTAAGAAACCATCTTGTTCTAAAAAAGAAATGTCACTTCTGCATGTGATGAACTTAACTGTTCAACCTTCTTTCCAAACAAACAGCTCCTAGTGCTCCACCTCAGAGTGTTTCAGTAACTAAGAACGATGGGAACGGGACGGCAATTGTGGTCACCTGGCAGCCGCCCCCTGAGGACAACCAGAACGGGATGGTTCAGGAATACAAGGTACCGCTGGCATGCCTTGATCCCCTGGCAAAGGGGGTGTTGGCCAGATCGTGACAGGTTAGGTTGTTCGTGGGGGCTTGGCTCCATCTTCTGGTTAGTCAAAGCAAATGCGAGAGAAAACCACTTAGTCTGTATTTAGTAATTCTCTCTAGATGGTAGAAGCCAATTAAAACAGCCTCCGGTAATCAAAGTGTCAGCACTCTTAATTAAAACAACTACCTTCTTCCATTCATTATAACTTGAGAAATGTGCACACAAGAGGGAACCATACCTGTTTGAGAACCGTTTTGTGACTCAAAGACATTGGTCAATGTGGTAAATAGGAACAGGCTTAATCAGTTGAAAATCTCAGGGATAATAATTAACGGTGTTAAGATCTGGGTAAGTTATGCATAACTGGGTAGTGAAAATAAATGGAAAACATTCAAGTACAGAATGTGCTTGTATAATAAATGTATTTAGTGTATAGAAATGTTTTCTTTCTCACAAACAGTTCTCATTATGCTATTTAATTTTTAACAAATTGTAAGTACATTATAAAATATTTATTATTTGATGCTCATTTAGCAGCATACACTGTATTTATTTTTAGTTGAAATTGGTTTGCAATAATTTACATAGCAAAGTAAATGAAGCTTATTTTTCCTAAGCAAGCTACAGACATTTTAAATATCTAATTGTGGATATCAAGTAAGCTTCATAGCCACAGAAAGGCGGGATATTTGATTCCAGTCTCCTTCAAATGCACATTATTGAGAACATTTTTCAAATGAGAATGTCTTTGCTATTTTTCAGGTTAAAACACAGAGCTATAGACATATGTTCCTAGCCATCAAAATTCATACATTTGTTTTGTTTTTTTTTATTCCCTTCGTAGAAATGGTAAAGAGAAGAGATTGCTAAGCTTCAGGGTAAATTTAGAATAACAAAATGCCTTTCAGAACCTGGTCAACTGGTTAAAAAAGTTTATGGCTTAGTTTCAGATATATAATGTAATTGAAAAAAAAAATACTTGCAAAGTTATTTCATTTAAAGACAGACCTTGAGCTGAAAAGATGGAATTATTTCCATCAAGAAACTGCATCAATAGAATGTTAAGGTTGTAAGGACAAAACTATTAAAGTCAGGAAATTCACATTTCCGAGTGGATGTAATACCTAGCATAACTCTAAGCATTCAAAGGTAATAGGCTATAAGGTGTAGGAGCAAGCATCTTGCAGTTCTCCTGTAGCAGTAGATGGCTCACTGGCATATTTCACGTCTACATTTATTGTGTGGATGCCATTATTTTCCTTTGTGTTTTTCACCATGGACAGAAAACAGACACAATAAATATATATGTAATTTCTGTTTAGCTTGCTATATGTAATTACTGTTTTTGTTTAAAAACTAAATAAATGCAGAACCAGTGATTTAAGATTAAGAACTAATAACAAGAAAAAAACAAATAGAAGTCTTCTAAAATTTTCTCTTTTTCCCACTCTTTGTTTTTCTATCTCTTATGTTTTCTCCCATTAAAAGGTACACATATGTGGGGCAGTTCTGTGTTTTCTCAGCAACTCATATCTTAGGCAAGAGTGTACCTACTTTAATTAAAGGATAAAATAAATAGGAAGGAGGAAAGGATACCATCTTAATTGAACAAGTGTCAGTAGCACACACACAAAAAGCCAGAAATTCAAATCACAGCAGAAGTCAGTCCCTCCTTCCCAGCATGAAATTAGAAATTATCTTGCTATACTAATTCTTTCTTCCCTTGTATGTTTTATTACAATGCAAATTCCTCTTCCTTCATAACATTCTAAAAATTCATTTTCACTTGCCTACCTAGGTAAACAATCAAATATAGTATGGCAAATACTGAACAACGTGATGTTTAACCTAACATTCTTGTTTTCTGAATTCCTCTGTGTATTTGAGTGCCTAAGAGCAAAACATTTCTATGAATTTGTAGTGTGTAGTTACAAGTACATAATAAATCTGTTTTAGTCTTTGCATATATGCCATTGTACAAGGTGGCGGTAGCAATTTCTGTGAAAATTACATAAGTAAAAATAAAGAATTAAATCTTTTGTTCCCCACTTTATCAAGTTCTTGTTTACATAAAAGCATTTTCATGGACCATCCTTTCTGCTTCAAGAGCATTACAAATTTTACTAATAGTTGTACTACTACTACTACTGATCAAAAAGCTCTCTACTTGGTATAAAAATATAAAAATGAGATTCTCTTCTCTTCATGTGCTCTGACCTGCTCTAAAGCAGCAGTTATTTATATGCTGCATTGGGATTCTCTTTTAAGGGAGCTTAAAATATATTTCAGATCTTCAAAGTGTCCCACTAGCTTTGTTTTAATCCTTGGCATCCAGAGAAGGAAAAAGGGTCTTACTGTCTCCTGAAGGTGAAATAAAATGTCCAGTGTCCAGGCAGAAAGGACTCTACAGAAAGGTCCCTAGCAATTGTTCTGTATGTGAAACTCTAGCTCACTCACCTGGCAATCTCCACAGTGGCAAACTTGCACAAGGGATTAAGAATAGCTATCTAGGCACTAAATCTTTTAGGAGCTCCATCTGTCAAAAAGCAAAATCTTCCCTCCTGTGTACAATCAGCACAGGTTCAGAAATGCTGCTGTTCTCAGGAAAGTTTGCTTCTTTACAGATAAAGTACTGAATTTAGCTGATTGAACTTTCTGGATAAATATTCATTGTAGAGCAATATATTTGTGGGAAGGGAGTAAAAAGGAAATCAACAGAGCTTCATCAATTTATTAGCAGATCTAGATTAACTGCTACTCCATCTTTAATAACAGTTGGGAGTTCAACCATACTCTTAAAAGCATTTGCCACATCAATGATGCAGGCCTGAAGAGATTAAAATCTCATCATATTGTTTCTCCTAGTTATTTAATTTCACTGATGTAATTTATAAAGTGGTGAATCGAAATCACTACACCTGTGTCCTGATCTCAGCCAAAAAAGAGATCGGTAGTCATGCTGTTGTCTTTCAATAGAAGATGGCATATTACTCAATCCTTGCCTCTTGCTGCCATAAAAAAAATAAAACGTTTAGATTCCATAATGACATCAGTTCTCTTGTGCCGTCATGTAATGAAAGATTTACCCTTGCACCTGAGTGAAGAAAACTTTCCTTGACGAATGATTCCTGAACAAGAGAATTGCAAATTCATTTAACTGAATGCACTTAACTTCGTTGTTTATGTGAGTGATTCTTGGCTACGGAGCTTCCCTTGTTTGTTCCATGTTACTAATGCTTTTAGTTTTATTAGCACTGATGTCACTGGTTGAACTGTAAATGAATTACGATAAACCCATCAAATAATTTTAGTAGTTGGAGTTGTTCTTTGGAACAAGAAGTATCTTTGCAGTATTCGTACAGTGCTTAGCACAGTGATCCATGACTGCAAATGTTAGAGTGGTGAAAAATTCTATATTTCTTTATTCAGCAGAAGGAAATGTGTCGTCCTTCCCTCTACTTACCCTTTGGTGTAGAATTTGGAACATTTATACATACCATACACTTACTTCCCTACAGGTTTGGTGTCTTGGCAATGAAAGTCGATACCATATAAACAAGACGGTTGATGGTTCCACCTTTTCTGTAGTCATCCCCTCCCTAGTTCCTGGTATTCGATATAGTGTGGAAGTGGCAGCAAGTACAGGGGCAGGACCTGGAGTGAAAAGTGATCCCCAGTTTATCCAATTAGGTAAGCCTGCTGGTAATCCTACCTATGGGTTTCAATGATTTTTGTTTGTTTGCTTTTGGCTTTGATGACACTAGAAATACTTTGAAGACAAATGATATAGGTAGTGTTACTTGATCTCTGGAATAGCAGGACTTGGCATTTCTGGATTTAAACATGCTTTAGAACTGCATTCTAAAACTGGGATTATAACAACACAGTTTTTTTAAAAGTCTCCCAATTCAGCAGTGCTTTTTGGTTATTGATTTTGCAAAGTGAATTTTCACATTTAAGACCGGTGTAATAAAACATATAGGGGAGTATGAATCACTAAGTGTTGACTCACTTTAGTTTAGGGATGTAATTTGTCTTGATCAGATTCTGTCTTTCTTTATTGAAGCAAAAAACTAAGAGTATGTTAAAATTAGGCACAATAAATATCAACTATGTGTAAAAGCCTAGTAAATAACCTGAGTACAGGAAAGAGAGATACACAGAGGACTTACAATAATCTTGGCCTCCTAACTTAATTTCCACCTAACATCTCTCTCTCATAAATGCAAATCAAGGGCATTTCTTCAGAATATATCTGGGAGAAATGCATCTTTGCTGTTGGTTAACTGCAGATTATTTAAAGCAGCTTTAGATGTAGTATTGTGCTGCTTTACCAGCATGCCTGTATCAAAACACCTTATCATTACAGCCTATAATTGTGAAAGCAAACTCAGCATCTTGCTTTGGGTTTATATCCTATCTGTCTTTGTATCATTAGTAGATCTTCCTTGTTATTTCACTTTTTATGTTTAAAAATCTATAATTACTGCATGTGAAAATAAGACTGAACAACTAATATATTCACTGGAAAATTACATGTACATTTCCTTGGCTATTAAAATGAAGGTCATCTTTAACTTATTTAACTTATACAGGCCTCTGATTCCCAATTACATTAATAGAGATTTTATGACAAAATTACACACAGCCTATATGGTATTCCATTACTGTGTGCAAAACCCCATAGTTATTTGCTGGATTGTTCTTTCCTATAGTCAGCTTCCATTCACAGCTTACTACAGCCAGCTTTCCAGTTAAAGTCAAGTTTGTTCTATATATGGCTTAGATTTTGAAAATTTTAAATTAGTGAGGCTTATGAGTGTAAAATAATGTGGTAAACTCGATGTTCAAAGCCAAAGACTTTGTATCCACTTTTTCTTTTTTTGGTCCTTTTCTCTGATGATAAGCAAAAGCTAAATGAAAGTGAATTTTATAATGGAACTTAACGAATTTGGGGTTTTGGTAAGTAGAAAGAGAAACAAATGAGACTTTGTCACAGTAAGATTTTTGCCTGCTTCCAGGTTCCTGGGCTTTACTGACACTGTGTTAGAAAGCATGAAGCAATCACACACCTCAAGAGGGTGTTCAAATGTGCAAATCTGGTAGAATCCATCTATTTCCTTGTGGTTCTATTTCCATGTGGTTGAGGTTTGCTTCTAATTAACTGGTATGGCCAAATCTACATACACTGTAGGAAAAATTCTATTGTTTGGCTGTACATGGCAAAGACCTGGAGACAGGAGTCTTGTGGAGATCCATGCCACTAAAATACCCAGACAGTGATACGGTCCATTCAGCAACTGCAGGAAAATTAGTACTTAAATTTAAGAAGAGTACCCTTTAGTAGCATAGATCAACCGAAAATCATCAAGGCAGAAGAATGCCTGTAGTTTACCTAACTGCTGTGTGATACAAGTTCTTCTACAGCCCCCGCAAGGAATCACATTCTTAGTTCTTGGATGTGCTCCCAGCACGGGGGTGGAGCAGACACTGGAGTTTTCTGGTAGCTCTTCTGAAGAAAGAAAATTAACTTGTTGATGTCATCAATTGGCACTTTTCACCAGCAATAAATTACATGGTTACAGAGAGAGGGAAGGGAGGCCAGGAAGGGGGAGGAAAGAGGACTAAGGATGCTACTTTTAGGTTTGAAAGAGTCCTGACTCCCTGTACCTACATGCTCTAGGAACTGCATGTTTGGCACTGACAACTTCAGGTTTCTACATTGCTGTCACTGATCCCAACTATTCCTTCAGGAAATCTTTTCCTGATATCTGAATTAGTACAATCCTTAGTTCCTTTTTTTTTTAACTTACTAAGAATTCTGTATGTGGAAACAGCATATACTATGTGATTTAGATATTCACTTTCTTTTTTTTAAGAACTTTTACATTAAAATCGAACATCTAACTCCTTATAATGTGTTTTTCTTATAAAACTGTGAGACTATGTTGTGGCTATCTCTGAAGCATCCAATGAAGAGGTTTTTTCCTCCAGTTGTAGCCCACTCTTGCACAGCGACTTCATATTTTAGTGTGCATGCTGTGCAGGGTGCTTCCGGGATTGTGACTGTGAGAAATGCCTGGGCAGAGTTTTAGTCTGTGGCAGGAGGAAGCTTCGCCTTTCAGAGGCCGCCTTCCAGAACAAGAGGATAGGACAGGAGAAATTGGATTCTCTGAGAGCTGAGGTGTGCTATCGCAGTCCCATGCATCAGCTGAGCTGTGATAAGTGACCTTGTGCGCACACTTAACCTGTTACAAAGACAGGTACAAATTGTAAGCTCAAAGCTCTTTCATTTTCCATGTCTGAGCTGACAGGAAGCAGCTCACTGAGCTGCGGTACCCCAGACTTCTCATGCCACCAGGGACAAGCCAACAATATACTTGCTTGTTATTCAAAAATCACCTTTCAGTGTTTAAAATCATGAGATCAACTGAAAAATCACGTGTCTTCTTAAAACACTCCCTTTGGGGTTACTGAATGTTCCCCTTGGCTTTTCAATGACCTTTTAAAGCTTTCTGTGGAATTTCAAGGGCTGGAAAAGCATTTGTTTGTTTGTTTTAAAAGGAAAGTTGATATTTTACATAAAGAAAGACTGCAAGAGCTTTAGTGGTAAGGGAAAAGATACATATTTCATGAAAGCTAGCCACAGCTCACTATATTGTGCTTATAAAACTCTGCTGTGGTGAAAAAGCATCATAGAATTTTGATAGAACTTCTTTTCTTGTCAACACGTGTAACTTCAGGGTGTTGGTTACAGAAATGCTCCATACAGATTGGTGAGAAGAAATCACAGCAAATCTTGTTTTGCTTATCTATATCCTAATCTTTGTGCAGTGGTGGGATACTACCTATGATAGCTTGGCAGTATTACCAGTGCTTCTTGGCAAACACATAGCAAAATTGAAACATATTGCGACATATTTCATTCAGGATACCAGCTCTGAGAAGCCCCACAGCAGCACTTAATGCTAAACACGTAGTTTGTATGAATATATGGTGTGTAGTTATTTATTAAGAGATGTCTGCACAGTTGTTATGAATGTTGAATGTATTATTCAACCAGTGGATGTCTCAAGTGTACAAAACACAAGAAACTCTCATTGAATCTTTATTATTTTAATTCCTTCATTTAGGAGATGCAGTTTGTGAACTAGCTAGCATGCCTTCAGGGATATTATTCTGTCAGTCCTTCAAGTACTTCTAGTGTGATAGTTATCAGGCTCTTTGTTGATATTTTTGTCCTGTGGCCTGCAAATGATTCAAAGAAAGTGATCTTTTTTTTTTTTTTCCCCCTCACAGCAAACCCTTCCAAACCAGTTCGGTGCTGTCTCCTCAAACTATATGGTATAAGATTGAAGTTCAAAACTGTTATTTTTCCGTTTTTGGAAACATATATAACTAGAAAGGAAACAAAACAGTATATTCTTGACCTGGTAATATTTTACCAAATAATTTTCGTATTGCGTCATGCACCTATATTTGAGGAAACGCTCAGACATTGTGTTGCAGATTCCAAGTGTTCTCCAAGCTTTAAATTGCCAGAATTAGTAATTTCAACAAAACTTAGGTATTCCTACTTACTGTTTGTACATTTTTGTATATTAAATGAGACAGGCATGTGGAAAAGTACCATTCCATAAGTTGTACACATGCAGGGCAAAGTTAAGGTTGCTTGCGCACCTGTGTACCTGGAATTTCCTATCTTTTTTGAATCTTTGGCATTCCAATCTTAATGGTATAGTAATCTTTTATTTAACATTTAAAAACTTAAATGTTAGTTTTTACACTATTCTTATTTATATGGATATTAAACATTAGAGAATTAGAGGTCCCAGTTCTTCTCAATGTAAGTTCTAATTAGTTTTCATTAAAGTTTGAAACTTGGAGCTTTGGGATAGATCGGGTAGCTATTGAGCAATAGCCATAGCAACATTATCTGTGATTAAAAAGCAGTCTCTTATCTTGGGGTAGAAGGGATGAGTCACTGTGATAATATGCTGGTTTCAGGGAGTTGTGGGATCAGCCTGCTCCGACAACTCTGAGGCATTTTCAAGTACATTAAATGCTGCGGCTGCTGCTCTGGCAGTAAGATGCACTTTGCTGTAGAATGTTTATGTTCACTTATTATTTTGGCACGTTTCCCCGAGGAGTGCAAGCAGGAACAGGAATGTTGATTATGAACCGTTTCATCTCAGTCAAAGCTTTCAGAAATTTCCTGGGATGAAGAAAAAGTACTTTTTTTAGTTCAAGAGCTTTTTTCCTGACTGATCATTCAGGACTATTATGGAGAGGGAAGGTGCCCTTCTAAAAGAAAGGCTTCCAATGTTCCTGGAAATATTTAGAAATGAGAGGTTCGGTAGATTTCTTTTCCTTTGCTTTGTATTTGGCTTACATTCTTTTTTTGAATTATAGGAGGAGCAGGACGTGGGTCAAATATGACCTCTTGAAAGCCCTTCCATCTTTTCTATGATGCTGTTTATATGACTGTACATGAACAAATACACATTATCTCTTCACTGTGTGTAAATATATACCAGATAATTTACTGTAACAGCTCTTAACAGTCCACCTTTGTACAACATGCCATAAACCTAGTTTCTTAAATGCAAATATGTTATTATGCTGTTCTTATGCTTGCAATGGCTAGCCAAATAATGCCATGAAATGAATATTAATTAAAAATGAGAACAATAAATGCTTAAAGAGATTTTTCAGTATTTTGTAATCTTCATAAATGCATTGACTGAGCAATGGAAAATATTTGTCTATATGAAAATACTGTCTGTGTGGCTGAATTGTTGATATTTTTAAAAGCATTCATATTTGGCTTTTGAGTTGGTGATTATTTTTTCTCCTGGATTTATTGTTTTAAATACAAACATTTAGAGGATTAGAGAGAGAGCATTTATCAGTCTTCTAAACTTTCTCAGTTTCTCCAGAAATCTTTTGTTCTATTCCATTAAGAGGTACAAGGTAGTGTGCTGTTGAAAAATATAGAAATAGTAGGCTTACTCATTTTGAAAAGAGACTGATGGTGCAAGTTTTCATATCTTAATATGGCCTCAGCTGCAGAGAGACAAAAGATGAGATAGAGAGTGACAGATTTAATTCATTGGTCACAGTATACTTTATACGTTTAAGCCCATCTGGCCACTTGTGTGGAACTTCACTTGGCTGTCTCCATAAAATCTGAAGCAACCCATCTTAACCTTGCACAAATAGGCATGAAATCTATAAACCCAGCAGACACAAAGGGTGCATTAGTGTGAAAAGAATGAGTCTGCCTGGTGAACTTTCAGACTAGACAGTGCACTTAAGTTCATAGAAGATACAGGAACTTGAAATATGAAATAAAATTTCCAATAAGGTAGCAGTCAGAGGAGGTGGTGATTCCCTGGCAAATGGGGTTTTGACCTTGATGTCACAAAAACTGAAATCTGGAATTCTTCACTGGCAGAAGCTGTTATTAATTTAACCATTTCCAATTCAAAAAGGTATTCTTTTCCAGAGGAGATTTGTTACTGCTATGATTTGTTGTGATTCCATCTCCTGTTTATACTGCAGTTTCTTATATTTTATTTAGGCTGTTTTGGAATAATGCAAGACATGTCATCATAAAAAAATAAAAATCTGTTCGCTGCTTACTTCATAGGGAAAAGGTATTGTTTTTTAAGTAAACAGGTTTTCATTTCTTATATAGTTCACATTAATAGAATTAATAACAGCACCTTTCTCCTTAAAACACTAATATCTCATTCTGAATCGGATGTGACTTCCCATAGTAAAAAGCAACTAACTGTTGGATATAGGTGAGAGCAAAAATGAGTATTTCAAAGACTAAGCTGTGGAATGTGTAAAGCAATATCCGCTCTGAGTAGAGGTTTCGAATTCTTGCCCTCACCCCGTGCAGTAATGAAATTTCCAGTAAGCGCTCACTGTAGTGGTGAAAAATCAGGAAAGCTGTATTTTGTCTTTGAGTTGCTTCATTTCAGTTAGAAAGCATTGGTTACTAACTGAATATCCTTACTGCTGTTCCTAGAAGGTTCTTGCAAAAGATCAGTACAGAGAAAGCAGAAAACACTGATTCGTACAGGTGCTTTCTCTATTAAGAAAAAAAAAAAGCAAGTGTGTGGAAAAATAGGTGTTTTTATTTTGAAAAATGGATATTTAAAGATAAACTTTTTGAAAAGGGCTGCTTGTTCAGTAATAATGATACTGCTTGACTATTTTTACCAATTCATAACTCCTTTTTTAGTTATACTTTAGCTTTTTCATCCATGTCAAGAGGGCATACTTTTACTTCTTTGTATCTTTCTACATATTCAGTCTTTTTTAATTGAGGTCGAACTGAGAGACTGCAAAGACTATGATAGACTGTGTAATACAAGATTTAAGTCGTCTGTCAGGAACTGCTGAATCAAAATGTATCCCTCAGTACCAACCTCATGTGAATGTACTTTGAATTTGAAATTCTGTGATTTTCAATTATGAGAGTGGATGTATGGGTAGCTGACTTCTACCCATTGGCAGAGCTCAAAGAACAGACTACACATTTCATACTTGGGCTTTCTTTTACTTGTTGTGTTCTTTGCTGACTTTCTGAATAATTTTCTGAAGCTGGTGTTGCTTTGCTAAAACAAAAATTAAAAAAAAAAGGCAGTCCCCAAATTTGAAATGTATGAGCCTAACTTTCTATTTGTAAGCCTAGCGGCCTGATTTTAGTGGCTTTCGTAAACAAATAAAAGTCAGTGTAGTTGAGGTACCTGTCTTGTAGAGAAAACAACAATTTGTATCTGGACCCGTAGAAAGATTTTGAAGGGCACTCTTAAGGATTTTACCTTGAAAAATTGGACTACAGTTATGCCAGTTCTTGTCATGCTGCCTTTTACAGTTGCTCGTTCAAATTAATTGACTATTCTGGGTGTCTTTTTTTCAGATTCTCATGGAAACCCTGTCTCTTCAGAAGATCAAGTCAGTTTAGCCCAGCAGATTTCTGATGTAGTAAAGCAACCTGCCTTTATTGCTGGAATTGGTGCAGCCTGTTGGATTATCCTTATGGTCTTCAGCATCTGGTTATATCGCCACAGGAAGAAGCGAAATGGACTCACTAGTACTTACGCTGGTATCAGAAAAGGTGCCACATTATATATTGCACTGGTTTGCTGACTATTTACTTTCTCATCAGTCTCTTGTTCTTCTAAGACTGGATGCAGGAATTATCAAGTTACTTCAATACTTTCAGGAAGTGTGCATCTGGAGCCAATGCAGAAAGCAGCAATATTTACGTAACGTGTTAAACCTGAGTTTAAAACATAAACCTTTAGCAAAATACCTAGACTAGCTTTTCATAAAGATACTCCTACAAATGAGAAATGTAAAGGTGGATGTAAGGCTGGGAGCTTCCAGTGTGCCCTTGCCACCTGACACTGTACCATCTGAAAAGGAGCCAAATGAATGGTAGTTCATTGTCCCTCCTGTTCAGTCCTTTGCTTGCTGCTACAAATACTAACAGTGGTGTACATTACAGTAACGCTTTTGGTGCGTGTACTTGAATTTCCTTGTGTTCCGGGGGAATGTGGTGAAGTGGCTGTTTGCAAAAGCATAACAGTCAGTAATACTTTCCGAGCCTTTTTCATAAATGCTGTTGTGAGACCCTTCACTGGGACCTAAATTCTGGGGCTATCACATCTTGCATCTGCATTCAGTTAGAATGGCAGCAGTGGGACTAACTTAAAGCACTCTTCATTTTCATGTTATCAATACCTTTGATATAATCAGATTGTCGGTGGGCAAGCAGTGCTTTACAGTATACTCTGTGACAAACTGAACTGGAATCTCTATCTGGAAGATCCTCAGGAATAAAAACTTAATTTCTCCTGATTAAATAAGCTTTTGTTTAAGTCCTGAAATTAAAGCCGAATTCAATAAGGTACAGTTCATTACATCTAAAAGCAGTGCCTCATAGGCACTCATAGAATGAGAACCATAAATTCTGGAATTAATCAGAAAAGGAGATATCCTGCTTTTGAAGGAATAAAGGGAGAATGTTTGATATTTGGCAATCAAAAGCTAGACCTAGGCTTAAAGGGTGCACGCATCTTAATGTATGAAAGGTGTCATGAGAATACATTCTTAAGTCACTTGAAGAATGAATGTCTGATGGTAATACAGATAGGCAAATGTAACACAAATGTTTTTAAACAGTAGCAGTGTGTTGCTATGAAGAGGAAGCACTGCTAAAAATAGCAATTGAGTGAGTGGAAACATGGAAATAGCATTGCTCAGTATAGGTGTCCTCTGTGCTATTAACGTATCAATGTTCACAGTAGACTTCAGGCACAGAGGCTGTAGCAGAGTTGTAGCCACAGAAGTCGAGGATGAATTTCACCTTTGATTTTGTTCTGCTAGGGTTTCTTAGGTAAGAGAGACCCTGACATGCTGCTGCATTTGCCTGTGCTGTTTTGTTTTACTAATAGCATGCTGCCATACCGCTTTTCTACAGTTCTATCAAACTAACATCACTATGCTTTCAGCAGTACCTATGATTAAGCAAAAGGCATACAATTTGTCCTTAGAAATGGTTACTGTAATGACATCAGCTATTGTTAAAAACAGCTGTGTTTTTCAGTATCTGTAAAAATATCTTTTGAGTTATTTGGTGGGGATTGTAATGAAAATATACAGAGAAGTAGGGTCTGTATCTCCACTATCAAGTATTCTTCAAGAAAAAAAGTGCCATCTTTAGTGAAATACAAATTGCAAAGTAGTTTGCCACTCTGCAGTACATCAAGTCATCTCTGCAAGCCCAAACTTCCTTCAGTTTTGCATTTATTTATTTATTTATTTATTCTTATATTTAGCTTCAGGCCTGACATCTGTTAAAATACTTCACTACTCCCACACATCCATATTGTACTAGCACTCTTACACACTCAGAAGAGATTATTAATAGAAGCTCTGAGAATTAAGTTGTTCTTTCGTGTGGTAGCGATAAAGATTTCATTTAGCTGAACCTCTGTTCATTTGTTCCTCAGTTCCTTAAGAAACTAAAGTAGCTTTAGTACTTGGCTCTCAGAAGAGTAATGAGACAGTACTTTAAGATGTTTTCTTCATGTCCTTGTGATTGCAAATGAATTTTGAGACACTTGATTCTCTTTTGAATAGCTCTGGTTTATATGCACCTTCTATTTTAATGAAAGCTTGTTACTATGGTTCTATATTTTTGAATGTAGCTAAATTAAACATGACTGTGTGAAAAGGCCTAGCTCAAAGAAAATACAATGTCATTCCCAAGATAAAGAGCTGTGCTACAAATGAAGCCTGAAATGGGCAAATGCTCAGAGGTTTTTCTTTTCTTTTTTTTTTTTTTTCTTAGTGTCATATCTCTGGAAATAAATTGGGATGGTAAAAGGAGGGGAAATCTACAGCATATCCTAAATTATAACAAGACACTCTGGACTCCCCTCAAACATCAGAGTTATTGTGCAAATTAGAGTAAGCAGTTGTTCTCCTAGCCAGAACCTTTTCTTTCTGTGCCAGGTTTGCAGATCAAATTCTGTCTCAGGGCTACTTATAGTGAATATTTTATTGTTTCTCTAACATTTGTCTTGGCTGTCATTAGATCGAAAAGGGCAATGTTAGCCTTTCTCTGCCCATCAGCGCTAGAAAAACTATACTGTCTTGCCAACAGGAGGGGGAGCATGTGCTAATAGGAAGAGCAGATGCTAGTGCTCTGTGTTTGGATTAGAGACCCTATTGATCGAAAGAGGATTTATAGTAGCTGTGAGAGTGAAGATTGTTGAGCAGTGTCATAGTTCCTTGTTAACCTTTCCCTGTTAAAGCCAAAGGTTGAAAGGTAGAAAGGTGTTACATCTAGGGAAAGCTTTTACCTTTTTCGTGATTAAGAAAGAAAGATAACTCTGTTTGTCATCTATGAAAACAAAAATTAATTGCTGCAGTAGATTTTAGTGCCTTTATTACAGCGAGAGTTAGTGCCATTCTTCATTCAGAGATAGTAAAACAGCAGTTCTCTTTGTTCCTTTATATGATTATTATTTCCTTACTGAATGCTGAAGTGTACCTATTAGATCAGCGTAATGAGCATTTACTTAGTGAACTGCAGATAAGATTCAATAGGACCTTGATAAGGCTTTGTTAAGGAATTTGTCATTCTGCATTCTAAAATGATTAACAGTATGGGGGATTTGTTTGTGCTAGGATTTTCAGAATAAACTTGAAATACCAAACTGAGGGGTATTTGAAAGGCTAAACCACAGTCCGATCCCCCCAGGAGGACAATACAACATCAGGCTTTTTTTTTTGTAACAGTACCTGCAGAGACAAGCTTCTTTCTGAATCTCAATTTTGATTTTATTTCTATATCAGTGTGACTGAACTACTGGGTTAGTTATATGCATTTGTTTTATGTTCAGCTGTCTGCTAGATTTATACTAATGTGGTATGTTTCCCTTTCTCTCTTCAGCTTAATAACCAATTTGTATTTTGTTTTGATTTTTCAGTCCCGTCTTTTACCTTCACACCAACAGGTATATATTTGCACTTTTCCCCCCTTCTGTGTTACTTTAGCATGTGTTTGTGGTACTGTTTCTCTTTTTCTGACATAACCAGCCCAGCTGTTCTGAGGGTTTTTATAAATGATTTCATTAATGAAAGTTATCATCATTTTGTTCTCTAAATAGTGCATATTTGCTTTGTAGCTGATACTTTATTTCATTTGTGTGTACCATTTTGCAGCATACCATTTGATGCAAGCATGCCATTTTGTAGCATGACCTCGTCAGTTTGTACTGCCTGGGCTCTCTTCTTGCACGTTACGTTGCAATAGTGTGGTCTTCTGCTTCTAGCAATGCAAAAAGTGCTTCTAATGGAGAAGGACTGGCTTAGCAGAGCCCAGATGCTGACTTGCAAGAACCTCAGTGGGATTATAGTTGGTGAAACATTTGCTGCTTTTCTTTCCTCTGAATCTGCATTAATCCAGTGACCTAGGAGTGGTCTGCTTTGGAAGATACAGAAAATCAAAATGTTATAGCAGATAGATTTCTTTGCTTGCTGCCTTAAAGTGTATTTGAACTATGAAATTTTAAAATAATAATCCTGTTCTGCATAAACAGAGGTACATTTGAAATTCAGAGTGGGTTTTAAATCATCTTCTATTTCTTTCTGTTTGGCAAAGTACAAAATATGACATAACCTGAGCCATAACTCACCAAAGTCCGTAACAGCCTTTCCGTTCTGTAGAGCTGACCTTCAGTCCGTCCTACAGGCTCAGTGGCTTCTTCTCTGCAGTAGATACAATTCAAGACATTCAGCACTCAGCAGCATACTGCTTGCTTTACTTTTAGCTATAGCCTATGTGAACAGACTGGTTGTTTCTTCCTCCTTTGTTCTAAATCCCTTATTTTCACAGGAGGTCTAAGAGACTTGTAGGACATGTATATCCACACAGGGTAAAACCACCTACCACCTGCTCTGCACACTTGTGTTAGCAGGGTATATTAGCTCAAATCAGCACTGTACTAATTTGGCCTCTGGGCAGCAGCTGAGTTACACCTTTCCAAGTTGGACCGCAATCTCAGGTCTGTCTGTGTTCATCTACACAGACCCAATCGTAATGAATTAGATTGTCATCCTTGTGCTTTTATATAACATTGAATAGTATTGTGTTGCAAAAGTCTTTCTATTATGTTCAGTGGAGTTGCTTACTGTTTGGCATGAGTCAGAGTGGCCCTTAACGTTTCTGAAGTCCTTTGAGATCCACGGTAGACACTAATTCAAACTGTTATTATTTTGCTGTTACTTGAATTGGCTTAACAGAGGGCTCCTATTGCAATCACAATTGTAGCACACTACTGAAATTCTGCAGAGGTTGGTAGGTTAGCTAACATATTTTCTCAGCTGGGTTCTTAACATTAAAAGAAAATATCAGGGCTCCATAAGATATGTCAAAGCTTCAAAATAAATAGCACTGGGATTTTTAAAGAAGAAATTGGAAAAAACACAAAGTAGGTAAAACATTTAAAGGAAAAAAAATCCTTTTGCAATCCGGGATCCCAGTCATTAGTTCCACTGACTTCAAATGGAACAAGACCCTCTTCTTTAGCATTACCTACAGTAAAAGACTTACCTGTAGCAATGCTTCCTACATTTTAATCCTGTTATTGTAATCTCTGCCAGCATTTATCTCTCTCTTGCAGACTCCCAGTTTGGAGTTCTTCTAAAGAACAGAATTTGGCTGCATTTTTACAACACATTCCTAGTTGGAAAATGTAGAATCTGTCAGCATTTGCAGGGAGGCAATCTCCTTAACCCTTCGCCAGACCCAATGCAAACCTGCAGATTTTACAGCACGGTTTCTTCTTGGATGTTTGCATCCTAAAAGCTAACTTTTCGACCATGATGCTTTCTGTGAAGGAAATGCAATCCATGCCAAAAAATGAATGCATGTGGACATCCACTTTGTTAATGTGTAATGCTTCTGAAATGCTAACAAAGCTATTCCTTCTAATTTAGGAAGTATTCTTTCTGCCAGTCATTTTTTACCAAGATTTATACATTTAAATTTTTAGATAAAAAGCACCATTAATAAATCCATTTGTTAAAAGTTATAAAATGCAAAGCTTCTGTGAACTTGAGTATGCCTGCTCCATGAGTGCAGTAACACTCAGAAGAAACATGCGTTTTTGCAGTAGGTTCAGCTGTAATGAGCCATTGTTTACATTGGAAGTACAGCCTGTTGTAGAATCATGATGTGTCTTACCAAAATAATAAGGTAGAGCAAAGCTGTAACATCTAGCCATTCATGAAATCAATATATGACCTAAATTCTTCTGCAGAGTAACTCCACTGAAGTCAGCAGACTTATGTTATGGATAAGTTCAACCTGATGTATGGCTTCCTGCTTTCTTAAGTGATGTGTGTGTGTGTTTGTGGTTTTCAGAACAGAACTGAAATATAGAGCTTTGTTGGAGCTAAGACTAGCAGTTATCAAGCAGCACAAGTATTATGTATAAACTTACATTTGAAAGAATAACTTGCAGAATAAGACTCGGGAATAATGTATAAACAATGCACGTTTATTGTCTTAGCTAAGATGAAACAAAGGCAAATTTAATACTGCTATTGAAGGAGTCTTTTATGATTTTTAAATTATCTCCTTTTTTATCTTTAACTATTTCAGTAACGTATCAAAGAGGAGGAGAGGCCGTAAGCAGTGGAGGCAGGTAATTAAGTGCTTTATTTTTAAAGCTATAAATCATGTGCAACTACATCTAAGGATGCTAGGAGTACAATTGTCCTTGTAAGTGATAGCAGAATAATCATTTGCAATGATATGTCATTATTTATTAACTCATACGTTTTGGCCATATATTTTTCTGTTTAGAAGCAGGATATATGGTTTGAATTTTTAGGTTGATTTCCGAAGAATGAATCATAATAGTTTCAGCTTTGTTAACCTGTAAAAACTGCATCTCAAAAAAATGAGCAGCAGAGGGAGCACTTTAACTTCAAAATAAAGACCTGGCTTACCAGCTGATTAAGGGAGTAAAAGTAATTAAGTCTTGGCATTTATAAAGATTAAGAAATATAGCTGCTTCACTAATACTACAAAGAAAGAAAACGTTTATTGGAAAAAATTGCCAAAGACATAAATGACTTATAAGGTGACTTTAAAAAAAAAAAACTTGCTGTGTATGCAAAACAGTTAAAACATCACTTGCAGGAGATGGGACACTGAAGGAGAGGGAAACAGGTAGGTTTTAAATGTAAACCCCCCCGCTTTGAGGACCTAGCCCATTGTAGATTGAGGATTTAACTAAAACATGTATCCTGGGTTTACACTTAATGAATGGAAGCGGACAAAACAGTAATTTACATTTCTTGTGTGAAGATAGAGTTTTCTTCAGGAGGAAAAATTAACAGTTTTAGCAAAAAGGCAGGTCAGAGCAGTGTCACTTCAGTAGCACACCTTTTTTTTTAATAGGTCACATTCAAGCATGCATTTTTATAAGCATTTCAGTTAAAGTTTTGGCATAATGCTGAAATAAACTAAAATCTGAGAGAGCAGCTGGGCAATAAATTCCTATATCAATTCCTTTTTCACAAGTGGCATCTCGCGGTTCCTAATTTGCTAGACCATACAAAAAATTGTTAATGCTAAAGATTAGACATAAAATTAAAACATTCCCAGACTACTTGAATGCTGTACAGTTGTGAGGCTACTCTGCTGCTGCCGAACCTGGCGCATTAAGAGAAGCTGCAGATATCTCTGTCTGGCACTGTATGCTGCTGTGTTGTCGTAGCCATAAAACCATGGAGGAAAACCTCTAGAAGAGTTACCATGCGATTTTTGAGTGCACAAATCTGTAAATCACTGGGTTGCTGCCTTCACCCCAGGAGAGTGAGGAAATAAGAGAGAACAGAGATGAACCCTCTCTTTCCCTGACAAGATTGTTAAAAAAGACATGCAGTTAACATCCTTTGTGTTCTTTGTGCCACTATGCTTTCTTGCTCTTCCCATAGCACAGGCTAGACAAAGCACACTCAGACTCAGAGGACAGAAATGAACCCAGAAGTGTCTACATCTTACACAGTCATTTCGGAACTGCTAGAGAAGCAGCATCATTTTTTTACTGTCCTAGTTTTAAGGATCAGTGGCACAATCTAGCAGTGTAATTGAGTTAAGGTGCTCATATCTATGCTGCTTTTTTTTCATTTACATATGTAGCATTTGCAGAATATATGATGTTGTGCTGTATTTTTTAGAATATGAAACATACTTCTGCAATACTAAAAAAGTGTTATTTTTACATATGAAACCTTTATTCTGATTTCCAAACTTTTCACTTCATTAAATTATATTTGCAATGTTTTGGAGAGGCTTAGCATTTTTGCCAAATGCAGTTATGTGAGCATTGTTCAGAATTCAAAATGCCACAGTGATACGTTTCAATATATCCCCACTTCTGCGATGCTGAAAAGTACCCATTTCTTTGGCAATCTCTTTTCTAGACAGGATTTAAGTCATGGTAATTATGGTAGATTGACTCCAGCCAGCAGCCAGGCACTTGCACAGCCACTTGTTCAGTCCATCCCTACCCCAGACCCAGTTCAGTAATTCAAGAATTGAAGCAATTTGCTGCAAAGGTTAAATATTCTTGGAAATTATGATCTCTGATCATCACCAGGCTATGGAGCTGTGATGCAAACATCTCTTGCCTAGCAGTTCCACCTTAATAGCTTCAATTACTGGAGTTTTTGTCTACTTAAATACTTCACACCACACTTCTTACATGACAGCAGGTGTGAATGCAAAGTAAGTTTTAGAAGCAAAGGACCTTTAACTCTCTATCCAAAAGTCCAGTACACAGGCCTTGAAAGTGCAGAAACATTCTGAAAGGCTTTGTCTCCTTTGAATGACTTGACCTATACTTTCATTACAAGAGCAGAGTAGTAGAAAAAAAGCAGAGTATTTCCAATCAGCTGGCCTGCTTTACAGACTGCATAGCTGTACAGTTATTTCAGATTTTCAAAAAATACTTGTTTAGTACATGTGTGTTGACTGGTTTGTTAGCCTGACAGTAAGTCAAGCCTCATCACCTCCTATGTTAAATTGTCAGATGACATATGCAGTACAGAATATATACACAAATATATATAGATTTTTTGAATGTCATTCTAAGACTATGACTTAAGCCTGCGGCTCTGACAGACAACTAACTCCCCCACAACTAACTGGATGCAGTGAGTATTCTCAACTTGCAGTTTAAGAGGATTAGCATATTTTATTTTTGAAGAGTATCACATCTAATATTATGAAGACTAGTTTCTGCACTATTTCAAATGGAAAGCTGCCTGTTAAATCCTGTCATGAAAGAGACTCTGTTCCTTTTTTTTCTAATATGACAGTGGCTAAAATTATCTATTTTTAAAAGTACCTTAGTTATCAAAGGCAATTTTAAGTTGTTAGGGGATGCTACTTATGTGAGACTTTATAACACGTCATTGCATTCTCAGTGTGAAAATTGAAAAGGCACCAAAGATTCTACAGAACATTCATCACAGTGTCTTTCGCACTCAATAGAAAAATTCAGCAACTTGGAAACCAAGGAATGCTATTTTTTTCTGCTGATGGCAGGAATACACTTAATTCCAAATGCAGCCATTATGCAGCATTGATACCTGTATCTTTTTAAAGGTGTTTATTATTCCCAGTTTCTTTAAACTTGCTTAGGAGCTGCTGCTGTTCCACCCACTTAAAGATTTAGGAAGTAGCTTACTCATTAAGAAAGATGTATCACACACTCAGTATGCTTAGTGAGATCCAAATACTCACAAGTGATGGAAGTTTCTTTAATTTACTGATTCCTTTCCATCCACTATAATGGTACTATCTGATGGTAAGGAGAACTTGGCATCACAGATCACAGGGAGTATTCACATCCAAACTTGCCTCTCATTTCTGCATATCTATCTCACTTCCGTGTGTGAATTTTTTGTTTGTTTGACTTGCCAATTTTCCCTTTTGTGCCTTGCTTTGTGAAAGGGCAGAAAAATAAAAACAAAACAAACCCCAAAAAACCCAAAAGTAACAGTTAAAGGTTGCACACCAACATATATGTGCAGTTCAGCAAACTGACCTGATGCTGTTCTCTTGACTGTCAGAATGTCTTACCAAGGAACAGGTTATATAGGAGACTAGAAACCATGAAATAGTTGAATCGAGCTGTATTTTCCAATGCTCCAGCCTTTAAATATGTGATATTTCATCGTGTCAAACCTTTTGAGAGGAATATAATTGCAGTGCGAAAATGCTTTTGTTTAATTTTTGAAATGACCAAGCTTTGTTTTTAAAGGCCAGGACTCCTAAACATCAGTGAACCGGCCACTCAGCCATGGCTAGCAGATACTTGGCCTAACACAGGGAACAATCACAATGACTGCTCCATCAACTGCTGTACCGCTGGCAACGGAAACAGTGATAGCAACCTTACGACATACAGTCGACCAGGTTAGATATGTTTCTACCTTGCTAAGGAATCTTCTTTACAGAGTATATACTTATAATGCCTGAGAGAGAGTGTGCAGGTTTGTTTGGTTGTTTTTTTTTATTTCCAATGAATGTAAACTTAATATAGTTTCTCCTCTGTGTCATGATTGTGCTTTCAGTCCCTTTTGGGATCACTTTTTTCTGTCCCCTTTGGATAGTTGTAGCAAGCTGTAGACTGAAGGAGCCCCTGCAAAAAAAACAAACATCCACAACTCTAGCTGCTTTTTGCTACTAGTGTTTCCCAGCATTTCAGAGAGGGAGTATGATTACCTGTAGTGAAGTTGCACAAGTGCAAAACAGCATTACCTCCTGTGATTAATGTGAAACCAGTCATTATGTGATGGTTGTAATTCATCTCCTGCAATATGCTGTCTGACAGTGACCAATGCCAGGTGCTTCAAAGGAAGGTGAGAGATTTTAACATTGGAGACTTGTATCCTACCCTGCCCAAGGATATCACATCCACAAATACCTATGCAAAAAGATTTCTGATACAGAGATACTTTGCTGTGGCAAGTACAGCCGCACCGAATTCTAGTAGCCAAAAGTTAACAAATTCGGAAAAGGAAAAGAGTGCACTTTTTTTGAGGGTTGTGAACTGTTGTAACATCCTGTCATGGGATGCAATGGGTTCTTTCTCAATTTAGCTTTTATATGAAGCTTGGCTGTGTTGCAAAGTGATTCCTTCCTTCCAAGTAGAAATTATGAGCTTGAGGGTCAGACAGGATGCTCATAGTGGTCTCTTCTGTCCTGAAAAATCTGGCAAATATTCTTAATTATGTCAGCATGGACTTGGCTTATGCTCTGAAGCAGCAGAGTTGGATATCTCCTCTATAGCTGTGAATATGCTAAGTGTGCATTTTTAATTTCTTTTAAGTATAGCACCATCTTCCAAGTGTACAGAATGGGAACAGACTGTTCTAAAAGTAGATGCTATAAAGCAATTTAACAGAATAAATCTTCTGTTATATAGGTAAACCAGCTTTGTTTAAGTTCTTTGTATGAGGAATTCTAATGCATCTATGTAAAAAGTCTACCCACTGCATGTATGGTAGTGATTACATTGCCCTACACATAAATTAGTTGTAGCTGAAAATGGAAGGAGGTAAAAAAATGTAAGTGACTCTGCAAGGATATTGTAGCAAAGCATGAGGTATTAGGAGTGAAGAATATTCTGAATATGTAATTGCCCAATATTTTACAATAGACTTGGAAGGGAGAAAAGACTAGCATGGTTTTGGTAGGTGAAAGAAAAAGCAGAAACAAAAACATTTAAAAGGTAGAAATCAAGAAGTTGAAGACTGTAAAGCAATAAATAACAGCTCACATAAGAAAGAAAAATATATCAAACAGTATAACACTCAAAAAATACAAGCTAGAGGGCATGAAATGTGCAATGATAAGTTGTATATGGCATGTTCTGATACTGTTCCTTAATCACTGAAAATGTGGATGTGGAAAATGTTTTCTTCCTCATGTAGTATTTTATTTCTCTGTTTCCAGGATATATTTCTCAAAAATATGTATGTATTAGGATTATTTTTGAAATTACATATCGTCTCTATTTAGTAGTTATTTCATTTAGCATAATGGTCAAATCCGGAATTCTATACTTAGTTTTACTTGGCACATTCTCCAGTAAATTAATTGTGGCCACAGGTAATGGACTTCAGGTTTTCAATCAAACTCATTAGCATAAGTACCACATCTTTTAAAAGATGAAAACTATATTCCTGGTGATTGTTATGTAATTATTGATGCATTAATCAGCTGGCAAATGAGAATATTTGTTTAATGATCACTGAATGCTGGTTTCACTACGCCTTCTAACTGCCGACCCACCAACTGTGTTGCTCCATTCAGTATTCTTCCAGTGGACTGGATATGGAGAAGAAATAAAGTGTGTGGAGCTGCTGTCACACAGAGGCAAGAGAATGTGGAAAGGCAGGCACACTGGTTCACCCAGCAGTGGACAGAGCATCAGTACAGTACATGTCTAATTTACTCTGTGCAATGAGTGATGATCTCATGATGCAATAACTATTAAAAGAACAAATTTGTGCTGTCTATGTGGTATATATTTAGCATACAGGACAATGGTATTACTGTGGTGTTACTTATTTTGCAATATCCAAAGCAACTAAAAATTAGCAAAAAATCCCAATTGCTTTCCTATTTTTTTGTTTCAAACCAAAATATAAGATTGTACAAGGAAACGATAATCAAATAAAGACTTGCTACTGGGTACTGAGTTACCTTTCACGTTGTACTGTTTCTCTTTAATTTTGTTATGTGTAATAATTTTCAGTCTGTTTTATAAAAATCTGTTGTATCTTTGTTTCTTATCACAAGTACAAAAAAGTCTAAATGCTATTCATATGACATAAGATGACTGTGATGTTTAGTTATTCCCACTTCTACGTTTTGGTTGATTTTTACTTTCAATGCAAATTATTTTAATCACAGTTATTTATTGGCTATCTATGCTGCTTTGAGAATAATGTATAAAATGTGAATGTTTATATGGCCACTGTAGAAAAAGCCCAGCAAGGTAAGTTATTGCAGATACAGTTCAGAAGGTCTGAATCTACAGTGGATCAAAACAGTGAAGCAGTAGCTTATAAGGTAAATAATATTCTGTATTTAGTTAATGACAGTATCTCTGCTTTGTGCAAGCAAGCCATAGTTATGCACTAAAATTTTTTTAAAGGGAATTTCATTGAAAGTATAGTGTAAGCGAACAGAATGACCTTTTCTTTTTTCTTTCCTCTGTGGTTAGCCGATTGTATAGCAAATTACAACAATCAGCTGGACAACAAGCAAACAAACCTGATGTTGCCTGAGTCAACTGTATATGGTGACGTGGACCTCAGCAACAAAATCAATGAGATGAAAACCTTCAATAGTCCAAATCTAAAGGACGGAAGATTTGTCAGCCAGCCTGGGCAGCCCACTCCTTATGCCACCACTCAGCTCATCCAGTCAAATATCAGCAATAATGTTAACAATGGCAGCGGGGATACGAATGAGAAACACTGGAAACCCTCTGTTCAGCAAAAGCAAGAGGTTGCACCCATACAGTACAACATTATGGAGCAAAACAAATTAAACAAAGGTGAAGAGCTTTTAGCTTGTTTCTCCTCTTTAGGCATCAGAGGAGTTTTGACCTTCTGGTGCTGAGAGTCTAAAGCTTTCAGGTTCAGCAATTACAGACTTCTGTGGTGCTTTTAGACTTCTCCCTCTTTAGATTTAGAAATCCACAGTTAGCAGTGTCAGAAAGTTAATTAGCACCACAATAACCTTCAGATATTGAATTTATTATAAAAATAACAAGCTGTACCTTTAGAAAAGAGTTAAATAAAATAAATTTCCTATGGATTTGAGATTAATTTAAATTTAATGGTAGTTAAGGGATTGGTTAGGACAGAGGCCAGATATTTTATTCATAAGCCAGATGCATGGTAGTCACATTATACTCTACCTTAAATTTTAAATAGGTCAACCCACTCTTCCCAGTCGTGGATGGAGACTAATTAAATCTACATGTTCATGTAAACGAATGAAATTTTGCATATCAAACTCTGTAAAATAGTATTGTGTTGTACACTGGGGACGCAAATGGAGTGATCCAATTCATTTTAGTCTTGTTCCTAGCAAGCCTTCAATTCACATATTGAGAGGCAATGCTACTGCACACAGTTTTGGAAACTAAATTCCTTGTTACCCTGACTGAAGTCTGTGGATCCAGAAGCTAAAAATAAATTGATTTCAGTGTTAACGGGAAAAATCAGAATGTACTTATGTGGCCTTGAGGGCATGTTTCTTTAATATAATGTGTGGGAGTTGGAAGAAATAGGTATGTGATTTCTTGCTAGTTCTCCAGGCTACCATGCAACCTCTTTTAATAACCTGATTTGCAAAACAGTATCCCTAGGAACTGGACTCATTCTAACTTGGAACTTTTTGCATGGATTGTTCTAACTCAAGTGATCGCATAATGATAAGTTACCCAGTAAAAAGATACGTTTCATTACAGGAATGTTGGTTTCTCTACTGGACCCATCTACTCACAGAGGAGTTCAAAGGGCAATATAAAATGTGGCACCTTCCCTTGACATAAATATGTCAAAAGAAAATTCAATTTTTGTGGCTCCTTACTGGAGGGTGAAAGCTGTATTTTTTTGTAATTATGTTTTCTTTCATGAACTGTGTATTACATATCTGTTCTGGAATTAAAACATGTTTGATTTTTATGCCCTGGAAGATACTGCATCTTTCAAACTGTGTATATTACAGCTGCATATTCTCTAGCATATTGTAGTGTGGAAAGGCCCCCTTAAAGCATTGTCTGCTGACAGTCATATATACATATTTCAGAGTGTTGATTTACTGTTTATCCTCTGTGTAAACATATGTGGTATGTAGGGCTTCAGCGTGGTCTCTGGAATGCAACCAGACTGAGAAACTATTACAGAATACACTCTGGTGTGGAATTTATCATTTTGCTCTTTTTCCCATGCTTACATTATCACAAACATTTCTGCAGCAGATGGGGACTGGATTCTTAGTTTTGTTTATTTTTGTTTTGATTTGCTCTTTTATGAGTCAATATTCTGATCTTGGTTTTCTCATTTCCTAAGTCAAAGCCATCTTGCTGATGATTATACCTATAGCTTTTGTAATGGGAAATAACCATTTTGATAAGTTACATGCTGTGCTTCATTGTCACTACTTTATGTCCAGTGGTTCTGTTTATGATGCAGTTTTATTTGCTCTATGAAGAGTAACTCAGCTCCTTTCTGTTCTCTGTAAATTATAATTCCTTTTTTTGGCATGAGATGACTGTTCTGTCAGATGAGTATTTTACTTCTGATAAAGTTTTACAGATCTGGGTGCCAAATCTAGATTTAAAAGTATCATACGTCTATCAAGTGCTTTGGAACTGGAGACGGAAGTTAACAGCCACTAGCAAAAAAAAGCCCTGCCTGTAGCTAGAACCTGCATGATCCAATGTAAATATAAATCTTCTTGGAGCCAGCAGGCAGCAAACAAAGACCTCTCCTGCTGTAAACCAAATTCAGTGGAGCTGCATTGTTGCACCAGCGGGTCATTCGGCCCTTGTAATACAAGGCTGACTCTTATGTGGGTTTGTCACGTTTGAAATACAAAAAGTAGCTACCACAGTCAATTGGCTGCCCTGCATGCGTAAATTAAGCAGAGACTGTAGAAAATCAATCAAGGTGACAGTCTATTCGTATGCAAAATGCTCACACAGGTCGTATATATGTCCGCTGGGACTTAATCGTGGCAGAGGAATTCCGACAACCCTGTGCATAGGATTTCATTTTACTTCATTTTTGCCATGAAGCTACTAAGTTCCCATGATTTACCTTAAACTTTTAATTAGAGACAACATTAAAATAAAACATGATTATAGAATGATTTTCCATTCAAAATATTATTTTATTTCTTCCTTGCTACTTTCAGGAGACCTTACTTAGTGTTATAAAGCACGTTTATAAAAGTAGATATGTTTCTGAAGGGTAGCATTAACCATACTGTTAAACTTGCAGATTACCGGGTAAATGACAACATTGCTCCAACTATTCCATACAACCAGTCATACGACCAGAATACAGGTGGATCCTACAACAGCTCAGACAGAGGCAGTAGTACCTCTGGTAAGTATCTACATTGTTTTCAAAACCTTAACGTTTTTGGTACGTAGCTGTAGTTAGAACTAGTTACTAGATTTACAGAAAGGATGATGGGGAGGAACCTACTGACAAGAATACAGCACAGAGTTGTTAAACAGCATAAAAACTGGCCAATAGGTGCCTGTATTTCTGTTGCATGCTCATAATTGCTTTGTGCCATCTAAATGTCAAGTAAGTAATTGATTGTCTAAAACTGTGAGAGTCTTGAAATCAATGTTGGATTTCCTACTGTTAATGCCCTACTAGTTAATAATTTGGCCTCCAGATAGGCAAGTCATAGAATTTCCTCTTCAGCTGTCAGAAAAAAAGAGGATTCTAATTTACATATTACTTTCCTGGTACTTTTGTATATTATTTACTGGTAATGACTTCTTTTACATCTCTTGGGTCTACTCACCCAAGACAACCTTATTCATGAACAGGCTCAAGATACTTGAACATTTGAGTGATGCCTAACAGAGCTGCCATAAGACATTTTTCATTTTTTTAATTAAACCCATGCATTTTATTGAGTAAAAAAGCATTCGTGCATACATACAATTTTTATGGATTTCGGTGGCTATATGTCAAAACTATTCTTGTACATCATTCAAATGTAGACAGTAGATAATTAAAGTTAAATTTTGTTTCTCATTGGCATCTGTGCAAAATCTAAAAGTCCTCTGTAAAGATCTTGAAACAAGGTGGCTTTTTGTGCTGTGGAATGCTGATCAAGGCACTGAAATTGTACTCTGTGCTTTGGAGCCACAAAACATAGTTTAGTATGGTTTGAAGGCCAGGGATTTTCTTTTCACCTTTTGTTCTGCTGTTGCCTCTGATAGCCCAGTTGCCTTAATCCTTACCTGTGCTTCATCTTAACCAATTGTGAATGGGACACAGCAGGGACATAAACATGTAGGTGAGCCTGCTGTGCCTTTGGGTGACCTGAATTCTTGGTGGCTGGGGTGAGATAAGCACAGCTTGTGATTCTCCCAGCTGCTCAGAGATGTTCTGGGAGCCAGCCTTTTGCCCGTTCCCAGGTCTACAACATCAGGATGTGGTGCTGAGCCTGTGCTCAGTGACATTAAGACCTGAAATTCAGTGTGAAACATCTCATGGGTATGAACCCAAGCATATTAAAAATACGAAGGTGGTATTCTCCATGCTGACACCTATTACGGTTATTCATAATGCTAATAAATTATAGTCCGATACCAAAGA